GGGCCAGGCTGGCAATGTCCCTGCTGGTGACGTGCTCCTCAACCCCACAGGAGATCATCAACTTCAACTGTCGCAACCTGGTGGCCAACATGCCCCTGTTTGCCAACGCGGACCCCAACTTTGTGACAGCCATGCTGACCAAGCTGCGCTTCGAGGTCTTCCAGCCCGGGGACTTCATCATCCGCGAGGGCACCGTAGGCAAAAAGATGTACTTCATCCAGCACGGGGTGGTCAGCATCCTCACCAAGGGCAACAAGGAGACAAAGCTGTCTGATGGCTCCTACTTTGGGGGTGAGGCTGGGCTGGGGGACCTGGAGGGGGAGCAAGAGCTGCCGGGGGCAGGAGCTGGGGCATCCCTGATGTTTCTTCCTGCTGCACCCTCTGCCCGTCCCCTCTTACCCAGTGCCTAAGGCTTGGCCTCCGCCTCATGCTGGGCTCTGGGGCTCACAAGTCCATTACCCCTGTTCTTATGGGGTACCTTGTCCAGCGGATTGAATCAGAGGGACCAGAATTCTGTCTGGCTTGGGCAGAGGGGCATCACCCCAGCTCTGGCCGGAGAGGAGGGTGGTTTAGAGCAGAGCATCTGAGCCAGTTTACAGGGTACAGGTTTGGCAGAGAAACAATCAGAGCAGCCATGGCCAGGGGTGTCTCCATGGCCTGGGCAGGGAGGAAAAGGCTGTGCCCGGCTGCGGACACGGCGTGGCTGTCCAGGCTCCCAGCTCTGTCCCTCGTCAGGAGTCAGGCTCTGTTTCTGGGCAGGGTGTGGGAGCTCCAGGCGGTCCTGTCCCCATTCCAGCTGCCCTTATCTGGGGACATTGTTGGGAAGGGGATAGATGGGTCAGGTTGGACACAGGGGCTTGGAGCAACCTGCTCTAGTGGAAGGTGTCCCTGCCCGGGGCAGGGGTTGGAGCTGGAGGAGCTTTAAGGTCCCTTCAACCCAAACCATTCCATGGTTCTATGGGTGCATCATCCTGACACCCAAACGTGTGTCCCTGCAGAAATCTGCCTGCTGACGCGGGGCCGGCGCACGGCCAGCGTGCGAGCAGACACCTACTGCCGCCTCTACTCCCTCTCCGTGGACAACTTCAACGAGGCGCTCG